GCAGGGAAATACTCTCGAAGAGTTTGACCCCGGTTGCCGGGGAGGGAGGATGAGGAGGGACGAGCGGTGGTGGGTGGGGATGTGACGCAGCCATCCTGGAGCCTGCCAAGCGCTTCGGCAGTGCCAGCAGCGGTTGTGGAACCCACGGCATCGCTCGGAGCACGACCTGGTCCTGGACCCAACGGCTCCCGCAGTTTCTCCCAGGCCGGGGGGACCCGGGAGCCCTGCCAGCGGGGACCGTGCTGCCTCCCGGGGAGCCCCAGGCAATGGTCCCCATCCTCGTTCCCATCCCCATGCCCACCCCTATCCTCATACCCCATCCCTGCACAGCGCAGGATTTCCCCATGCTGTTCCCACCCATGTGGGACCATCGCTCAGGAGAGGTCATCACCGGGGGGGGGACGGGGGGAAGAAGCCACCCTTACCTTTCTGGAGGTGGATGATGTCTGGGAAGTTGGAGAGGAGCCCTTGGTACAAGGAGAGAGTGTCCAGCATGAGGAACAGGTCGTTCTTGGGCTGCTCGGCGAACATCTCCCCCACGGTCTCGTACGTCTTGCCCGTGTGGGAGATGGCGTTGTTGAGGGCGTCTGAGCTGTAGGGGGGGTCCATGTGGAAGGTTTAACCATTGCCCAGCTTCTGGAACCCCTTCCGGAAGCCCCCCACGTGCTTGCGCACCAGCTCCGAGGCCACGTTGGTCAGCTGCAGGACGCTGTCATCCATCTTCTTGCTGAAGGCCTTGAAGGCATCCACTCGGTCCTCCACATCCTGCAGGTCCTGGTGCTCCGTGGGGATCTGGATGGTGAGGAGGAAGCTGGCGCCCACCATCTCGTCCTTCTCCGCCCGGCGTTTGCCCAGCTTCCACTGCTTCTCGTCGCGGCAGCAGAGGAAGTGCTGGAAGCCCTCGTACTGGGAGAGGACGGGGGGGCTGGTCATATGTATGGTCCATCCAGAGGATCAGCCGCCGCTTGCGCTTCTCGATGAAGTCCTCCTCGAAGCGCCCGGTGGCCTGCTTCTCGGGCAGGTGGGGCACCGAGATGACCGTGAACTTGTGCAGGAGGCGGTTGTAGAGCCAGTCAAAGTGCTTGTACCGCCGGTAGACGGGCGAGTTGATGTTGCTGGGGGTCAGCTTGTAGGAGATGTAGCTCTTGATGCCCTTGAACTTGGTTTGCTTGGTCGGGTCCTCCACGGAGCAGATGAAGGGGTGGGGGTTCGCCCTCCACTGGGGTCCTTTGGAGCCCATCTCGATGCAGTACGCCTCGGCGATCTTGGACATCAGGGGCACGTCGCCCAGGATGAAGGCTTCCACCCCCGGAGGGAGCGGTGGAGGTTCCTCCCCACCACGCTCCCCCTCTTGGAGGAGCTCATGCTGTCCTGCCTCTCCAACGCCGGTTTGGGACGGTAACCGGCGTACTGGTGGTGGCCGTACGCCGCCGGGTACTGCAGGTTGGGCGAAGGGTGCCCGTTGGTGCCCGGCGCGCTCCGGGGCTCCTCCACCACCGTGCAAGCATCGTCCCAGTCATCCCAATCATCATCATCGTCATCCTCAAAACTGCCCTGGTAGGAGATGCCGGGGTTGGGGGTCTCCGTGTAGAAGGAGTCGTGTCCGGGGGAGCCGGCCGGGCTGCTGGAGTAGTCCGTGTAGCTGGAGCTAGATCGGGAGCGGAGGATTTCG